ATTTTCACTTAAATAAGTTTGTAAGGACTAACCAACGGCCACTTTATAAGTATGGTCTTTACTTTTGTGAGAGAAAATGTCCCTCAATACCAGCAGATGGCGGTAACGTGTATTTGTCATTCAAAAAGGGAGACATGAAGCCTAGAACTGCAAAATAATCAATCACAGTGAGTTCTTTCACTGACAGGCCACCAATTCAACATGCTCAATTGATCTCAAAGTCACCAGTAGGGGCAGATTTGTGCCAATGATGAACAAATCATTCATAGAGCCCAGTCTTTGCCTTGTTTGTGTAAACATTAAATGATCCAAATCTGAACGGTGTAATTAAATTCATTGAATGGACCTCACTCATGTAAAGACACAGGCTTTATAGAGTAACCTGATATGCTTTTAATCCTTTTACAGAAGATGATGACGCCACAGATGCGGAAGAGATGACAACATTTGATGGTTCCACTATCTCCCTTTCACTTTCCCCCCTCATGACGCCAGTAAAGCATGGTAATTAGTTAGTCAGTAGGAATTGAATTTAGAATGAGCTGCTTGTTTTTTTCAGTGTTCTATGTCCCCTGGTGTATTTTTTAAATGGGCAAGAAGTCCCCTCAAATTGAACTGATACTAAAAATGTATTAATGCATCTTTTCCTGTCTGATTGCACTCCTTATCCCCATCCCCCCTTCACTGACTTTGTTCATCTGTTGACAGACGTAATTCCCAATGGGAAAGACCACTTGGAAGAGCTGGAGGAGGATCTGAGCATGGAGGTATCCAAGCTGAGCGTGAGCACTTCGGATACGGTGGAAATCTCAATTACATCAAACGAGAAGACAGGGGAAGCTCAGACCCCAGAGAGCCAGACCAAGTCCCCAAAGAAAAAGAAAAAGAAGTTCCGTACACCTTCATTTCTCAAAAAGAGCAAGAAAAAGAAGGAGGAGAAAGAGAAAAGTGAAGCCTGAGGGCATTTACCATAAAAGCAATTAGTATTTGGCTAGGACACCACCTGAATTCAGTTCTGAATTTTCCGCTTGTTAAAGGGGAGTGAAATAAGAAAAATGATTATCATTCAGTCAGAATGTCTCCCAGGACTCTGTCCTTTTTACACATCTCCCATCATTCACAGTTATTACTACATGTGAACGTTTTTTTTTTTTGTAGATGGTAAAATGGATGCTTTTCCCCCCTGAGAATTTACGATCGACCACTCCTGAAGGGCTAAGAAAACTAAAATAAACTACAATGGTGTGTGGTTGCTATTACCCATATTTTAATGGGGTATGAAATGGATATAGAACTACACATTGTGATGGTGATGACGAACATAAACAGATTAAATTTATGTTTTTCTTTTCTTTTTTTTTGCACAGTTATCTCTTGAATGTATACGGAAGCTATGAAATTGTTTGAACAATTTTGAAAAATTTACAATCACAAGTAGGAGTATGATCATCGATACGCTTGGCCTTATTAGAAGGATGATTTTATCTGAGCTACCCAGTTACATTATCTTGTAATAATATATGTTCATTTATATTATAGGTATTACAACATAGTGTTTGATAGTTTCATAAATGATTTGATAGTCTACATACTAACTCATACTTAACATGCTGTGATTGATAGTAATAATTCATGGTCTTACATCCGTGTCATCGGTATCGTCTCTATGGTTGCTGCTTCATTGTAATAGAGAGCTCAGTAAAGTGATGATTTTTTTTCTTGCATAATGGTGTTAAATGGTAAAATCTGACTATTTCATAATGGACAGAAAATATCCAGACGTTGGGATGTTGAAAATGAAAGTGCGAAGCCTGAATCACAGAAAGTTGAAGAATGTGATGGATGTTTCGAATATTTGTTTTTTTTTTCTTCCTGAAAAATGAGTTGATGGCAATACGCAGTGGAAAGCGTTTCTTCATAGCCATTTTGAGCGTTTGATATAAAGTATATTAGAGGACTTATATTAACATCCCAGTCAATAATGTGAATGATTTGTTTTGACCCAAAGGGAGTGAACTCTTTGTAAAAAGTTTGTTTTTGTGAGGTTCTATTGTTACGCTAAACCAAATGTAAAAAAAAAAATACAAACATAGCAATGTGACAGTACAATCAAATAACACTATTTTAACACTTTGTATCTTTTTTTTTTTTATTAAACCTAATGCTCAGTGTTTACAAACTGCATTAACTTATGTAACCTGTGTGCCTAGTGCTTGTATTTCCTCTGTTGTTTACATTGCTATTTGTGTACATTGCATTACACCTCGCCTCAGTCAGTCCTTTAAAATTGCCTTCCTTCTGATGTAATAAAAGCTGGCATATGTTTCCATAACAACTGTATTGCTCTCTTGCTTATTGACCGAAAGACATTTGATGTTATCATTTCCTATCTCTTCTCAAAAACAGATTCAAGCATTACGTATGCATTTATTTCGGCGATGACTTGAGTGTGAAACTCCAGCTACTTAGATCCAGCTCTAACTTACAAAACCTCCCAAGAATCAAGTAAAGCTCTCAAGAACACTATTTACACAGCCTGCTCTTTGAGAAGAAGCAGCGTCTCCTTAAAACAACGCACTCTGTTCACTGATAATTGACCATGTGAAGCTGTATAATCAGTCTTCAGACATGATATGAATGGGGTGTTGTCATGGTAATCCACTGAGAGGGGGCTATGGAGACAAAGAGGGGATTTGGTGTCTCCAACAGGTGTTCATGTTGGGGGAGTGACAGGATCTGTACCTACACCACCCCCAAACCACAAACGCACACCTTCCAGTACTCCTAAAGAGATGACATATGGATAAGAAGAGGGGGGGGGGGGATTTAAAGATAAGAATGACAAATTTAAAGAAGAAACTAGAAGCATTTTGTTTCAAAGTGAGACATTTTACGAACGTTAGGTAATAAAGATAAGCAGTAATATAGAAAAACCTGTTCCCGACATCTTGTTTCCTGTCACAGATAATGAACAGGCTTTTGAAAAAATACACATCTTGTTTTTTTGTGTTAGCTAAAACAGCATTAGCAAACACCAGGCTCTAAACTAGTTATCTGCACAACTCCTCTCAATGTGTGGGTGACAAAGCTCAGCGCTGATCTCCTCTGTTTCCTCAGGAGTGAAGGAGCAGGTGACACACGTCTGCTGTCCTGCTGCTGTGACCTCAGGGCAAAGTGCATCTATTGTTTTAAAACAACAGGGGACTGCTGCTGCTGCTGCTGCTGCTGCTGCTGCACAACGCTTCATCTGAGGGCAGCATCTTAATGACGAGCAGCATGTAAGAGGATAGCATCAGAAACATAGATTGATTGATAAACCTCTGATAGAAGATACATTCTAAAATGTTTTAAACACTGTGATGTGTGTGACCAGCATGGGATGTTTTGGCACATTCTTCCACACACACACAACACACACACACACACACACACACACACACACACACACACACAGGCGCTGTGTCACTTTGCCTCCTCTGTGAAAACCGAGCCACTGCTGTAATCCTCAGGCTTTTCAGATTACTTCTGTTGGGGTCACATTCTACATCAACCTACAGTGGGTCAGCTTTCCACGCTGCGGCTAACAGCGTGCAGCATGCATGGTCACTTTGTCTGCACACGAGCCACATATCACAAAGAAGCCTTTTTCCTTGAGAAAAGCTGTCAGTTTCCTCCATCACCCTCTTAATACTCACTCCATGTATGAATATATCTCTCCCTTCCCTGTGCACATGAGTAGCAGTAGATAATATCTGAGTTTTGCATAGTGTACTGTTGAATGTTTTGTAATCAAACTGCGTTTTGACGACTAAACACTCATTAAAAAATAGAATACATCGATTAAAATTTCATGATGATCCATTCCAAGAATTTATCATATTTTATGTCACTCAAGTGTGCATCTCTGTGTCAAGAGTCCAGATCAGCACCGTCTGTCTGTGTGTGTGTGTGTGTGTGTGTGTGTGTGTGTGTGTGTGTGTGTGTGTGTGTCAAGCCTTGCCAGGCGGCTGAAATAGACTCCATGGGAGGGTGTGCTCTGTCTCTCACAGGCGTCCGTTACAGGCCTGGCCACATCTGCAGCGGGCCAGCCATCTGCACCCATTGTCTAGGAGGCACAACACAGCCCTGCACGCATGGCTGGCTTCGTAAAGACAGGCCCTTTCCCCTCTGTCCTCCTCCGTCTCTCACAGTGTGAGGAAAAATGACTTCTTAATCAGTCAAAGGGGACGAGAGAAGTGCATCAAGATAGACGTAAACTCAATTTCAAGGTTAGCTTTTACAAAGAAGGAGAAACTTTTTAAGGTTGGGGAAGGGCAGACTTTCACTATCATGTAAATTCTCTTTTCTGATGAAGTGAAGCGTTCAAAATGGGCCTTTATCAGTCCCACATTAGCTTTATTTTTTTACTGGTTTTCTTTCTATATATCTTTTCTTAGTTTAGATTGTGTTTGGAAAAGAAGGGCAACACAGCACTCCCAGAGGAGCTGAGGTGAAAGAGAGACTTCAAGGAAGACACGAGCTAGACGAAAACAGCAATATTAAGGCTGTAAGACTCAAACGGCCTCCAAACTATTACAAATGTTTCGCTATCTTCCCAGCCACTAAACTACAACTTGAGTCTCCGGGATGCATTGGGAGCACACAAATTATGTTAAGTCTACAAGTACTACTTCTAGACCTGAATGCAGAGAGCCTACCCCCCTTATAAGCCCCGATTGTGCCAGAAACAAGACCTAATATTATCTACTGCCATTTTGCCTTGATGCTTTTCACTTTAAAAGTCTGCTCAGTTCAGACATAACTGTGCACACATGAAAAGCAGCTCTTATTTTTCATAATAATTCAGTTCATGCCGACTGAAATAAAGCAGCATTGTTGCAAATGAAAGCAGGCATTATGTGTGTTATTTGTTATGCTCCTGCAGTATTGATAATGAGGATTTATTATGGCACAGTTGACAATGAATGCAATGTGCATGCGTTAGTGGGAGGGATTATCCACCAAGTAGGGCAAGTGGCTGAGGCTAAGGACTGCAATTCCATCGAGCCTAGTTCATTTCAGGCATCCGCTCAGTGCACAGACGGGACAAGGAGAACAGTTTCAGCGCTGACTATTTGTCAAAGCCCCCCCCCACAAAAAAAAGAATAGTCTGAAGTGAAAATGGTCAAATACATGCGACAGCACGGCGAGCTGAAACCCGAAGAGGTCCTGTCGGAGTCTGATGCATCCATGGACCAGCAGGATTTCGGAGAGATGTCCGACTATTCTTTCAGCGACGTTTTATACTCCAAATGTTCCGCAATGGACCAAATCAGCACTTTTATGAAGAACGTGCAAGTGCTGCTCGATGCAGCAAATTACCTAGAAAATATCGAGAAGAACAGCGGAAGTAAGTAAACACGGGCAGTAGGGGATATTAACACGTAATGCGCCGAGCAGACAACAATAGAGGCGAAGGCGACAAAAGACGCGCAGTGGACGGATGAACTGGCCCGAACACAGCCAATAATATTTCACCTGCTTCTGAACAAACTGTTGTCTTATCGAGAAAGCACTCGTCAAATATCATCATTTGAAAATATGTTTCAAATTTGGCTACATTTTTTCCCATTCAGGAAGCTTTTTGCATCGCCTAAAACAGATTTTATTACAATAGCCTGCTGCTAAATGTAGGCTATGCTCCCATTAAAGCTGAGCTTTTGCAGACCATGGGATACTACACTGAAAAGGCACGATTAAGTGTATTTATTATGATAAATACGGTTCCATATGTGAACTTTTCGCTTAATAACTGTAGACATTTGTGGTGTTGAGACTCCATTTTCCAATAAAGCCTAATATTTTATCGCAGTTTTCCTACTTCCTTCTTTCATAATAATTCCATTAAAACATTGCATCCCCTCGAAAATGCCGCATTCACGGACCTAGTTGCATGAGGGAAAAAAAAACCCAGTTTATATCTTATTTCCTTTAGAAAGGTTTCATTCTAAGCCCTCCTATCATTTACTGAGGCAGCTGCTGCTTCCTTGTATGTGTTGTTCACATGGTTTCCACATGGAACAAATTGTCAAGTTTTCATTGGTCGGCACACATGTTCCCAGCACGAGTCACCTTAGACAGCCAACCACGCGCAGGTTCAAGTCTGACGTCGCATGTTACTGGGATAAAGGGTTCATGGGAACTGTAGGCTATTTTTGAGAATCAAGTGAGAATATATTTAAAAATGGGCCAGTTAAGTTACAAACTTGCAACCTATCCTAACAACCCTTTTATATTTACAAAAAAAATACATGAAAACTTTATTGATAGAAACATTTTTTAAAGATTCTATTACAGAGACTTAAGTATTTTAATTTGTATTCGTTAGATGTGTTCTCTACGGTCAAAATTCTAAATGTATCTTACAATTTGAGGAAAATAAGGTCAAACTAACATGCCAGTCCAAGCCCTCATGAGGCCTTAACAAACATGCTTAAAATCTGTACAATCTATGTAATCCTCTTGATCTTTTTCATCACCAGAATGTGAGCACGGCTATGCTTCCACATATCCTGCAGGCCAAACAGCACATCAACAGAAACAACGTAAATTGAAGAACAGAAAATTTGATAATATTCTCAATCGGTATGTACATGTACATGTCCTCCCATAAAAATGAATATTTATGTAGGTTGAAATGCAATGTTTTTATTCTTTTACTTTACTCTTTTTAATGAGAATCTTTGTTAGAATCTATATGATTTTTGGTGTATTAGATTATTCCACCAGTGTGGTAATAATGTAAACATGTGGATAGGATTTGATCTGTACATATGTTGCATTATTTTGACTTGTTTAACAGTTTTGTTCATTTTTTTTTTTTAATTCAACAGATCAGCACACAATGAACTGGAAAAAAATAGGTGAGTAATCCAAGGCTACAAAATTGTGTGCATGTTTGTGATGGAAAAGAAAACAGTATTAGAATATAAAGAGGAAAGAAAGGGAGGTGTTGTGACAAGGGCAGCAATGTTAGGTTACTTCTTTAATCTATCACCAATTAATATTGAACATGTCATGCACAGCAAGGTCCAAAAGTGGTCAGAAATGTGCACTGTCATAAAGCAGGAAGAGGAGCAGAATTTCTACAGGATTTAAGATACTTTAGCAAATGAGGTGCAAGTGGAGTTTATCTTCAAGAGGCAGCCGTCTCAAAATGGAGCTTAAAGCGTAAAAACCAAAACTTTCTTTGTTCTGCCATGTTTGCATATCTTGCTGCTTGTGAGCATTTTAAAACGAGATGTACTGTCGGCCTTTATACATATACATATATATATATATACATATATATATATATATATATATATATATAGCAGCTTAGTAACCCCCACATAACCACATTTGAATCCCAATAACCACATTTTTGTACATCAACTACTTGGACATTGCCCTTTTGTATATTACAGCAGTGCTCATTTTGCAAGGCAAATAAAAGGGAGGTGTGATGCAGCCTCAGTGGCAACACTGTTCCTGGAGGACATGCAGACATCTCCCCAGTCAGCAAACGGGAACCGTCTGTTTCCAGACAACAGGGCTCCTTCCTCAGAGATTCTCCACCGCAAACCTATCAGCAGCTTGCTTCTATTGCTTCAGGATGAGGCGGCATCTCCCCCAAGCAAGAAACAAATGTCAGGACACGTTTTTTTTTTTCCTCAAATTAAGTGCCCAGTCTTAAAACACACACAGTGTATGTGTGAGAATACTGGTAAAGATAAGGCGAGGAAAATCAGGGTCCTAGAGAGGAAAGCTTATTTCCTATTGGACTTTTTTTTAAACTCAAAATGGTGGCCCTTGCAGAGAGAAAAGATGACATCACAACTTGACCTACATTTTACTACATTATTTGAAGGAGTAGCGAGTGTCCTTTGGCTGCATCTGCACTCACCAGACCACAGGCACATAGGCCTTGGTGGATCAGAAACAGGATCTTGGGCCAGACTGATCCATACATAATTGCAGAGGAGTCAGATGATGTGGCCAGCTAGCAGAATGGATAAACAGATAAATCAGGTGCTTGAAATCATTGATTGTTACATTGCTTATTATTGAACAAACTGTATAGACCAGGAATTATCCTATTTTGTTTTCTTAATGACAATACTAATCACATCTGATGAGCAGGAAACATTAAAGTATGTCTTTTTAAAGACTATTTCCGAGGATGCAAATACATCAGTAGACAAAGTCTACTTATGTTTCCTGTAAAAAAACAAACTCTTGTCTGATGCACAGTACTGCATGTAATCTTTCTAAGCTACTACCCCTCTTGATGTATCTCCTACCACAGAAGAGCACATCTCCGCCTGTGTTTAGAGAAGTTGAAGTCACTGATCCCTCTGGGACCAGACTGCAGTCGGCACACCACCACACTGGGACTGCTCAACAAGGCCAAAGCACATATCAAGGTGAGGTAGTGTAATAATGCAACCCCTGTAATATTATAGCAGAGTAGGAAGTAAGGACTTGATTATGTCCATTTCTGCGCTCATACAGTTTCATTGGCTTCCTCTCACTGGCACACTAAAGGTTAATGGTCGAAATGAACAGGATTAGAAACATCACAATCAGTTGTCTTGAGGAAATAGTAGCTATGACATTGCAAAAGGAAAACGGCTTTCATTCACTGATGACACCAATGGCTCATCTTAAAAACGTATTTCTTTTGTATGTCATTAATGACAAATTCATCTGCTGTTACATTAATGTTAATGGATTTAATCGGACATAACATAATAGTTTTACACAAAAAAGTTTTACACATAACTCGCACTATAAGATATCTACCTTGAGTAAACAATGCCTGATGTCTTTGATACATATAGGAAGGTCATAGGATGGTAAATGGTAAATGGACTTGAGCTTATATAGCGCTTTTCTAGTCTTCCAACTAGTCTTCTTTTTTCTAGTCTTCCGACTACTCAAAGCGCTTTTACACTGTCACACCCACCCATTCACACTACACTGATGGTAGTGATCGCTATGTAGTATCATCCATCAGAAGTAACTAATCCCATTTATACACCGCCACTGTAGCAATTCGGGGTTAAGTGTCTTGCCCAAGGACACATCGGACATGTTGCCCAGCTGGGGTTCCCTCGACCTTCCAGTTGAGAGGCGACGACTCAACCAACTGAGCCACAGCCGCCCTCCAGGTATCCTTTTGATACCTGTGAACGACTCAGTTTGAATCCATAGTGATAGCTTGCAGACTTTTTGGACATGGTTGGCCCAACTGGGGCACTGACTTGTTCAGGGGGAGGCCTAAATAAATGAAGAGCATTTATTAACCCCTTCTGTCTGCACTAATCAAATCGCCATTCAAGTAAAAGAAGATGATGGCAACATATACATCTTCTCGAAGCAATATGTATGTCCAAAGTCACAATTTAAAATATTTTAAAAATTGCAAACAAACATCTGCACACTGAAAAACTATGACCTGCCTGTCACAACACAGCCTGAATAGTAGATTTCAACATTCAATAAGTCCTCCAGAGTAACCTCTGGCAAGGCAAAGAATAGTTAAGTATTTGGGGGTGGCACCTGGGTTGGCCAATAATATTTCAAAAGGGGGCCCATGCAACCCCTGGCCACCCCTCTGGACACACCCCTGATAGCTTGCCAAGAGCCTTAACAGGAAATAGAGTGAATTCTTCTTTTAGAAAAGAGAACATTTTATTTTAGTCTCCTAGCTCCTACACTTGGCTCCAGTCTATTTTTAAAGTAAAAACCAAGGACAACATTCAGTTGAATTCACTTGAAGGAATTTTTGTTTCAAAGTGAGGATATAAAGCTACCTGTTTGGATGTTTCAACCTTTAGTTGCTCATATAATAAATTCGGGATCAGAGACGCAACAGGAGGGACAGGGGCAATGTATAATGTCGGCTGCAAACAGTGCTGAGAGTGTGTGTATATCTTCAGCTCCCACTATGTCTTTACACTGAGCATCTTGCACAGCTGCATCACTGTAACATAATGGTTTTACCCCACCCTTTGCCTCCATGCGTTTACATTGCTGACAAGGGTAACACACAATTATTCCACCTTGAAGTGGCAGTTTATAAGCGGCTTTGGTTTTTCCTTTAAATTAAATGTTGCCTGGACTGCCACCTGTATCAGTTCGAGTCTTCCATTGAGGGCGCGTGTCTTTGAAAGTACTGGTTAAAGTAAATGTTAATTAATATTACTGAGAGCATAATAGGCTTAAATGAATTTAGAGTGTCAAAGCATGCACAACTTCAACCTTTAGCTCCACTGATGGCTGCAGCCTTAGCCAGAGCATGTTTTAAGAAATGTTGGATTTTCTTAAGCCCGGTCTGAGCTGGCTCCCGCTGCGAGTAAAACAGTTGATGGATGACTGAGGGCTGCAACCCTCCTGGCAACATTATGGGTAAAGCATCCATGGTGTCAACAGTGGCCTTTGGACTTCCGTGCTTGAAGTCCTGGAAATGTGGCTTCTGAATGCTGCTGAGATTTATTTTTAGAACCAGAGGTAGTAGTGCATGAGAGTCAAAGGGAGGTGCAGGTGTAGCCAGCGTGCACGTCATGGCTGGAGGATGTAAGCAAACAAAAAACAAAAAAACACAATTGACGAGATAAAATTATTAACTTATTATTTTTTCGAGTAAATGTAAATCATATTTCAAACCTATTTATTAATTTCAATTTAAGATTGTCTTCTAACCAAAAACATCTTCAAACAGCAATATTTCAAGGCACCTGAGCTTATTTATGCAGCTACAGCAATGATACTGCAGTGGCATCTTATTTGTGGCATGGTCAGATGTTGTTATTGGTGTTAATCTAATGGATTCTCTGATGTCATTGAGCTTCAAAGTGCATCTTTGTGACTTTATTTGTTGTTTGAAGTATGCAGGCTTTGTCTTGATCTGTTATTGCTCACCACAAATACACTACAGCATGTCTACATTTCCATGTCAGTGAAAAACAGGATATTTCACTTGTATCCACCTCAACCAGAGACACCAGCCATTCCTCACAACTTTCCCACCAGCAATGAGCTGTCCTTGTATGTTGAATAATGTATGACCAGTCACAGGAGACATCAAGTTTGACGGTAGCTACAGCTATATATTAACTTCACATCACTGCATATGACAAGCTCACCATCCCCACATGCATATCGTATGTCAATCTTGAGGAACATCTAGAGAAGTGTAGTCATAATGGTGACATTTAATGATATATAATTGAACACTGAATGTGGAACATTGGGGCCTAAAGATGCTGATAGGCTTGATTTTCTGAATGGTACTAAATCTAAAACAGCTCAATTAACTTTTTCGTATTTCCGTTCGTCAGAAACTTGAAGAAACAGACCGGAGGAGTCAGCACCAGCTGGAGAACTTAGAGAGGGAGCAAAGGCACCTTCAAAGGCAGCTAGCCCAGCTGCAGACTCATGGAGAGAGGGAGCGGGTCCGTACGGACAGCCTGGGCTCCCGCACCGACTCTGACCACTCAGAGTCTGACAGAGGTCAGTGTCCAAACAGAGCCTTTATGGAAGTATGATACGGGTTTATTCATCTAGTGCTAATCCATAAGAATCTACCAATATACACTCATTTAATTACAGTTATTGACTCGCATGATTAAAAAATGTGTTTGTTTGTTTTTTTCGAGCAGAGGAGATTGAAGTTGATGTGGAAAGCACTGAGTTCTCCCATGGAGAAATGGACAGTGTAAGCACCAGTGGTGCCAGTGACCTAGATGACCACAGCAGCCGGCAGAGCACAGCCAGCGATGAGGGCTACTCCACCTGCAGTATAAAACTGGCCTTCTCTACTTGAACCACCAGCCTATACTTCACTTAAGCTGCAGTCTCTTATGGCTTTCACCTTTTAAAATACCAGCCTACAGCTCCATTCTCCCTTGCAGTTTAGGTTAATCGTCTTCAAAAGAACCAGCCTCAATCCCAGCTATACCTGTCAAATCAAAGGTCTATTCCAACCCCAGAACCAGCCTTAAGTTCAACTCAATCTGTAAGTTGAATAAATGTCTCCTTCCAAGAGCCACAGAGCGCCAATACATCATTTGAAACATTCAACTAAAAAGCCTCAAATTTAACTTCTCTGGCAGTATTCAGTTTCCTGAATTTCCGTAACCAATCACCTGAATGTCCCTGGATACATAACCATTATCTACTTTACCTGCTCTCAATGATGATCCTGTAGACCCATGGTCGCACCAGTGTCCAAAACTGAAGGGGAACCCCCCAACTTTAGTCAAGTTTATCCTCTGAAACCAGCAAAAACACAAACACACCCAATACCAGCTAGAAGCTCACCATTGGGAAGGTTTGCTCCATTTGCCTTGTAAAAACATTGCCCTTTTTTTGGATTATTTATCCAAATGACACTTCTTGTCAGTGTGCAAGTCAGTGGCGAGGGCTACAATGTCTGCATTCCAAAATGTTTATTACACTTCTATCACCTCTGCTTTAGGACCCACAACCATAACTGATTAATGTGGCGTCCCCTTCTCTTGACTGAAAAACAGTCGTATCCAAACGTGTGGTTAAGTCCACCCTTCTTATTCTAATTTATTTTGCATATAGTTATAGTATTTATTTTTGGTCTATTTAATTCTACTGTAGCTAGGTCTTGGTCATGCTTGAATGAAAAAAGAAAACGTTGCTGTTTATTTCCTTCTTTTTTTTTTTTTTTTAAATACGTTTACCAAATTACTTGATATAAAAGTAATCCCCACTGCTGCAAATATTTCTTAATGGTATTTTGTTGAAAGAATGACAAAAATCTCTTTCACACTGTGTGCAAAATCCATTTCGATTTTAACAGTAATAAGCTATCCCACACTTGTCCAAGCACAAGGCTCAAGCAATAACGCGTCGATTTATTCTATCTTTAATGTTGGCTGTTTAGCACTCTATTGTCCGTCCAACACCAAACTGATGTTTTGCTAATTTTCCACTTGCTCCAGTAGTTAATAATCAGCTGTTTAAATGATTGTGATTTCAAAAAACAACAACTATGGTGCATGTGTGTTGAATGTAGCTTGTCTAATCATGTTGTAATGTGCTTTGGATTGACAAGTCTTTAAAATTGTCTGTAGCATGAACAACATAAACACTACAGAACACTAATTTTGGTTTATACTTCAATGTTTAATACTGTATCCTTTTTGTATTGTAGCAGAAAGAGTCCAAGTTCAAATCCTTGAAATTTAAAGACTTTCACGTCCCATTAGTAATTCAATGTATATTTGACACATAGAATTGCACTGGTGACATGTTAAAATCCATTAAAACCAAATAAGACATTTCAATATGACCATATTTCAGTATTTTTCTGGTCCAAGTCCTAAGTAATCACCACCAAATTGTGTCTTAACATGGGTATATGACTCTTGCACAAAGTTCCTTGTTACAGGTCTTTTCACCCCCTGCCCCCCTTCCCCCAACCTTTTTTGGGAATATACAAAATGCACTATGAAAAAGACTTTTGTGAAGGAAGTATGTCAAAGCACACCCCAGAATGTTTTCTCTCGTGCTTAATCAGCCATCCAAGGTGACTTTTTTGCAAAACATGTGCTGCTGGTCCCCTTCTAGTACTTTGTTACAGTTCCTGATGACTGTCCCTGGAATCTTAATAAACCTCTACCACCCAGACATAAACCTGTGTTGACTCTTTTTGTGTTTTGGCATAACTACTATCATTGTTCATTTATTCAACTCTGGTATCTTGTATTAGTGCTTAATCAGCCATCCTAGGTGACTTGTTGAAAAACAAGGGCTGCTCGTTCCCTTATAGTACTTTGTTAGTTCCTGGTGGTGACTGTCCCTGGACTCAACATATTCAGTGGTGGTTGTATCATAGCAAAACCAGGGGTGTGAACTTTAATAAACTTATACCACCCAGACATAAAACTGTTTTGACTCCTTGACTCCTTTGTATTTTAGCATATCTACCACATTATTGTTACGTTATATCTGGTATTTCACAGGCACACTAGTTGTTGCCCAGCATTTTGTTCAAAGAAATCAGAAATATAACAAACAAATCATCAGTTTTATAGTTAACAAGGCCTTATTTATCTTTGACTAAGAGAGTTTAACACACAAACACTTTAAATCATGTACCTTATATTAGAATATGGGATATATTAACAGTTGCAGCATGCTGCTCATTAAAAGGATATAACAGTGTTTTCATTCACCAACAGGACGTGACAGAGCCATGGACAAAATGTAATGTTAAAACAGGCAAAAAATTTGAAGCAATTATTGAAAAAAAATGAAAACAAAACAATGTTTATTTCACCGTTGAATATATACAGAAATTAAAATGGAAATTTAGCCATCTCAAATCACTAATATAAATATTCAGACTACCCACCAATGGGTGTGTTAAAGAGTCCAGCCTGAAATGCACACACCAGGTCTACAGATGGTTATTTATACACAGATTTGTGGGTATTTGGCCTTATTTGAACCTAGACACAAATAGTAGACGCTACAGCTTTTCAACAACATCACTTCCTATTTTTACATAATAGGTTTTCCAGTGCAGGGTAAAATCCTGTCTGTTAGGATTTTTGTTGCTGTACCTACATTATATATAAGAAAACTACATCAATATTTTAAACAATGGTGTGCAGGCAATTCCTTTCAAAGCTTTCTGTACTTGAGAAACTTAAATCATGTATAAACACGATGGAAAGCACCGATACAGCTGGTATACAGTGGATTATTTTACACATAATATATCAAGTCACTGTGGCATTAGATGTCTGACGTTGTATTTTGAAGTGTCATTGTACTGTGTCATAGGCTTGTCTGCAATACCACATGTTCCCACTCCCACCTTTCCATTCACGCTTTCTGGAGATGCAAATATGCTCCTCTTTACCTACAAAAACGGAGAAGAGAAGAAATGTATTATTAAGAATCTGAAACGATACAACAATTGACAAATGGGTAACGTCCATTTATAGATGATGAGCTGATGGATAACCTTTAAGTTGTTTAAAGTTGCCTAGCAATTATCAGTAACATGCTCTCAAAGTATGGCGGGTTGATATGGCCTAAATATTAAATCTCAGATTTTTCCAAACCAAACTCAATTAACGATTCAAATCAATTTTCCCCTTTAAAAAAAACTAAACATAAATGATAAAGAAATTACTAAGACTAATTATTATTAATTTTAAGAATAACATTTTAAAAAGCAAACAGAATTTCACTTGAATTAATTAGCCTTAATTCAATAAATGAATACAATTCAGTTTGTTCTCCTTCTTAAAATGCACACCACAAACTTGTGTTACTATATAATGGACCAGTAGTGCTTAAAATGAAAACATAATGAGTACATATTATATTATTGCGCCCTGTTTACTCAATGCATTCATGACAACCAAAGAAAACTTACCTGTCCTTTCTTGTTCTTTGAGTAAGCTTTGTTGTTGAACTGTTGCCACTTTGATTTTTGCTCCTCTCTTTCTTGCTCCAATTCCTTCATCCTAACCACCTTCTTCTGAGCTTTCTTCTTCTTGTACTCTCTCTGCTCCGCAATCTGCTCTTTCCTAGAAAGAATGACAAGCAAGAGAACCAAACTGAGATCTGTCCAGGATGTAAAAAATACAATCAACAACTTCCAACAAATTGGAGTAACATGATTCATTGAACCAGGAGACAACTAAAACAATTAAACATGGGTTTATTATTTCATGCCATAACCTCACATGTTCAATGAAACATTTTACTTTAATCTTGAGAGCACAAATGTAGGGCCTGTCTCCTTGGTAGATGCATAGAAACATTCTCAGGGTCCTTATCTTTCAGCCAGTGCACAAGGATCACTAAACAGCCATGATGTAGGTGCTGCACTTTAAGTGCATACTTGAATTTCAAAGAAACGTATGTCATAATGCTTCTCTGTTTGAATATTAATTTCAGACACAAACAAAAGTTATCCAGTGATGAATTTGATAAACCTGGCATAGAAAGGGTTACATATGAGGGTTTATATAATTTCTTGTACTCAGGTCATTTCCAGGCAAAATTAAGCTGGCATCGTATTATAGTGGAGTTGTAAGAGAAAACTGGGGTGTGGGAGTTTAGTCTACTACAAGGTTAACCACCATCACCCTCGGTGCTCGGCATCACAAGTACTAGTCTGTTTAACAAATCATAAATATTTTTAAATTTTGGCCCTCAGTGCCGGATAAATGTTATAAAAACTGCAATGCAGCCACCCACCTTTAGCCAGGGCTAAAGCCATAGACTAGCTGGAGCTCCCATTAAAATGATCCCCTACTCTACTACCCAGAACTCAAAAAACAGTGAAGAGTTCACATCTCGTAGGAGCAGCACAGTTCGGCAGTATTTAGAGCGATAAAATTGAGATTAAAATGTAAATAGAAAGGGCTAAATGATATATAGTGTTTTACCATCGCAATTGCGATGTTAGAAAGTGCAATAGTCATATCCCAGGATGTACAATGCCTATCATGTGACCCAAAGCACGTGATGCTTCCACTTTCTATAGTTTGAAGGAGACGCTGCTGCTGTCACATACCCCAGCATGATGCTTGAGTCAGATGCTCATTTTCGGAGGCAGATTTATAATGAGTGTATTCCCACTATCACCTGCATCTGATCGTTAACGCTGTGCCAACATACATGGACCGTTAACCCGCCCAGATGTATCACTGATTGTTTCAGCACTTTGGTCAACTGTGGTTGTTTTAAAGTGCTTAACAAATAAAGTTGGATTGGATACTTTCAGTGGCTATATCTGCAATGCGCTCAGTGAAACTGGGTCAAAACAGAGCTTTCGTTCAATCAGCTGTAACAATCACCAAGTTGGTTGGTCATGCAAACTCAATATGACTTTGAGCATGGTTAAAATGGTTGATGACATACAAGCTAAACAACTGCGACCAATAAGTTTATCAAGTTTACATTGAAGCATGTCACTACTCCTTTTCTCTTTCCACATGTGAAAAACGCAATATACATATATATATATATATATATATAGATATTTATCAGAAAGAAGAAATACCGCAATGTTGTTTTTTTCAGATATCTTTAAGCTCTACTGTGTCAGGTTAAACTGGCATATTGACTGGAGCAAACGTAGCACATTAGGCACACAGGAAGTTAATCTGCAGGGAGGGCTGAATATTGGAAGAGTGACTACTGTTAAAGTTAGCAACACTCTGCAAACCAAATGACATTGTTTACCCGCAGCCAGTTTTAAATAAACCATGCTTAATTTGTACCACTTCCTGAGTGCCTTCTTACTTTTAGTCTAGTTGTTAAGTCTTAGTTAAACTCTCTGTTTTACCGAAAAGAAAATGAGTTGCCTAGGAACATCTTTAGCACTACAAGGGACAAAAAGGTAAACCATTAACTTTTAATTAACAAAACACCAAGGAAAGTAAAACAGACATCAAGGGGAGATATGGAGAACATCTTGAGAACACATCTGAACCCCGTGGTTCTTCTATAGTTGAGAGTAAAAAAAAAACTCACTGTCTCTCAACATGTTAAAAAACCAAGACTGTTCTTATACTTTCCTCAATGTGTGGCTAAGCAGGACTTCAGAATAGATTTATTTATATGACTTTAATTCATACCTTGATTTTGGCTTGCCACCATCATCGTCAGAACGTTTCCCCTCCTCCACTGCTTTGAGGTTCAGAAGAGGAATCACTTCAGCATTCCCATATCCAGAGAAGGTTACAGCTGCGGTGCTGTTCTCCCGGTCTATCTCTTCAATTTCAGCCTCATACACCCTGCCAAAGAATCACGTCTGTAAGCAGGTGAGTATGAGCCAAATACTCAAGCTCTACTTAAGATTAATAAACTAACTTGTGTTACCCTTGAGGTCACACATGCAGACAAAAAGGGCAATTGCTTTTCTTAAGTGAATCAATCGTTCTAAGTTTATATACAGCATACTCTTTTTGAAGGTGTTCACGTCAAATGCAACAAATCAAATATGTGACATCTTAAGGAATTCAGTTCAACAATTAGCAAACTGGCAGAACCTGATCCATAATACTAGTATTTGAATGCAGATAAACAACTCAATTGGCATTTGGTTATATGTGATTATTTGTTGAGTGGAGGCTGATGATACTCACTGTCCATCCTGACTCCACGCAGCCAAACACCTGTCACCCACTTTCCAGCCGACCTTCTGGGGAACTGTGTCTGTGCCATTAACGCTGGAAGCACTATCAGTGGGTTGAGAGGTCAGGAGATCTGTTGTTAAGTCTATGACTTCCTGTAGAAGAAATATCATCAGAAAGGAGGTCAGATTTTCATTCCACGGAAAACTATGTCTTAGAAATTTGTAAAAGAATGGACTTTTTTTGTTTTCTATGGTCAGACATCAACAATTTGAGCTAAAGACCCAGCTCTTACATGAATACCTACTACCTTAATGATGATGGTTTCGATATCATTGATGATGATGGTTGTCACGATTGTTTTTGTTTCATAACAATGACTTATAAAGATGGTTTCTATACAGTTTAGAGCTCTCAAGAACTGCCGTCAATGCTGTGCTTTGCCTGACAGCACCTGTTTCTCCAATCGGACTCAAAGCTGATCGTTGCTCTTACTGACGTTGTTCCCTTTTTTTCTAGATCCTTGCTTGTGTTGTACTTACTCTCTAATGTACGCCGCTTTGGATAAAAGCATCTGCTAAGTGAATTGTAGAATTTCGGGGAAAACTAGCCACCACATGAACCATATACACTTAAAAGTCACAAGATACACAATCTGCAAACCAATACTAGGTAAAATTGTCATGTTTAGTTTAAAATAAAGGACTGGGTAACTGGTTACTTCTTTTGCACCTACATACAAATCAACCAACGAGAAATAAACATCTTAATTGATATTTAATTCTGACACTATGATGCATTTTGCACACAACAGACATGCATACCTGTAAGTCTTTTTGAAGTTTAAGGAGGTCTTCATTGTCTTGGTCAGTGGATAAGGCAACTTCCACTTGTTGCAGCTGGGCTTTATAGCTACTTAACTGTTTGAGGAGGTCTTCAGACATCTGTGGATTGACAAAAAAAAAAAAAAAAAAGACAGACAAGCTTTAATTAGCACGGTACTAAAGCGACGGGTACACCTTGAATAAGTGAGGTAGCACACATTAGCAATGACTTAATCAAAAATGTTTAACTTAGTGCCATGACGTTGATGTAAAATAGGTGAAACCGTGTTTACTCATAATGGGAATGGGGAAAACACAATATGCTGCACTACATTGTCGTTAGCTTCACGCTACAGTGGCTAGCAAGATCCCGTGGCCTTTTTTCGTCGACGTCAATATTACAGATCACACAGTAGGGGCTGCTGCTAGCTACGAGCGGGACATTAACAATCATTAAAGACGACTGGTGTTTTCTCTTACCTCTATGTATTAGCTGTTGACCTATAAATACCGCAGGCGACTCGATTGTTTGCTAAAAAAAAAAACGACTGCTTGAAAGAACAACGGTGCGCTCGCCTTCATCGGATACACAAATATACCCACCGGAAACCCGTCGAAGCCTCCTCTCGCGATAACATCGAAGATCTCATGCCCAGTGAGAAGCAGCTCGCGAGCGTCGCCCGCGGCAATACTCGCAATTGCATCTACAGTTTTCTGTTAATTTATTTATTTCTTTGTCTCGAAGCTTTAACAAATAATAATAATATATAGACCAAGATTTGGACATACTGGATAAATTAACACATTATTTAAAATATAATACAGGCAGATGTGACTGTGGCTATTTATATTTATATTTTTTTATTTATTAATTTACAGAAAATGAGTACACACAGGATATTCTGATCCACACTAGGTGGCGGAAATGCATCAATTTGCTGTTTGACAACCCAAAAAAACCTCTAAAAGGGCAAAACTAGACAAATAGGCTACATGTAGCTTTCATTTACACACACGTTTGGGAGTCTATTGTTGAAGTACAATCAGTCGACAGTGACTTTAGCCAAACTGAACAACTTATGGTTGGTATTGTCAGACTGAAGGATGGAAATAAAGTTAAGAGAATGATTTAACATTGACACAACAACCGTAATCACCTCAATCTAATATACTAGCCTATGAAATGATACCTATCCATAGAATTTTACCATTTGTGGTAATGAGACCATTTTCAAACTATGAAACTTTCAACATTTTCAATGTAAAAATATTGTTTATTTGGGAGTGCTCCAATATGTCACATCTTGCATCCCCTTTCCCTATCTGTTTTTTTACTGCTCTCAGTTGCTGCTCTCTCTCTTGTTCTCTTCTACTATCAGTGATTTATCCCCTCAGGCTGTGATGTTCTTTGTGGATCCAGACATTATTTCAAGCAATTTTTCTTTCAGGATGTATCAGAACATTTTGCTCTTTAAACGGAGCTACAGAACAATATAGACCGTACTTGTAATCCATTGTAATTCAATAAAACTACTACAGATATTACTTCTATAAATCAAAAAATATTGTTAAAGTCATAATCAGCCAATGCTTTCAGGGTCCGACAGGAAAACAAAATGCTCTTAAATCTCGAGCAGCAGATGAACTCCGCCCACTCCCCTTTCCACTGAAGTGAAGCCAGCATCACAGATCCTCAGCGTCAGATCAAGCTCATATAAAAGACGCACACTCTACTTTATTCACAACCGATGAAAAAATCTTCCTGAGCCAGGACTTTCTGCAATGTAAGTCTGTTTTATGAAATGTCTTCTAAGGGAGTTAACTGCAAGCTTTTTTTTCTCTAAAAGGGTAATGGATGAAGATTAGTTTTTCTGAAGAATATAACTTTTTTTTTTTTTTGTATAGTGGAAATTTGGAATAAACCAAATCCCCCCCCTTTTTCATTCACTCGTTTTTTTTCTTTTTGCAGTATAAGGAAACATTTCTTAATTTTTTTCCTACAAATTGTACCCCTGACAACAGAAGGAGCTTTCTTTCAACAATATCGTCTCGTGAACAAAATGAAAAGACTAATTTTACGGATGCCGTGTTCTCAAGTGGATAATAAAAAAAGACTGCTGGCATAACCGACACCACAGCTCATCCTGATGGGTTGTCTGAACTTCACCGGTGGAAATGAGACTCTGCCTGGCTGGCACCCTTATACTGTGCAGACCTCGGTGCCTGTAACAATCCTGGTGGGCGTCCTCTTCCTGTTAATTGTTTTTGGCAATGTCATGGTGGTGATTGCTGTGATGACAGGCAGAGCCCTCAAAGCCCCTCAGAACTTGTTTTTGGTGTCTCTTGCATGTGCCGACATCCTAGTGGCCACATTAGTGATGCCATTCTCTTTGGCAAATGAACTTATGGGTTACTGGTACTTTGGTAAAGTGTGGTGTGAAATTTACCTGGCTCTGGATGTTCTTTTCTGCACCTCATCCATCGTCCACCTGTGTGCCATTAGCCTGGACAGATACTGGTCTGTCACTCAAGCTGTTGAGTATAACCTGAGAAGGACACCAGGAAGGATTAAATGCAAGATCTTCATAGTTTGGGTACTTGCGGCCATCATTTCCTTCCCTCCGCTTATTACAATGAAAAAGGACGAGGGTAGAAAAGACAGCCCTGAATGTAAAATTAATGAGGAAAAGTGGTACATCATATTCTCCAGCATCGCCTCTTTCTTTGCACCCTGCGTCATCATGATTATGGTGTATGTCAAAATATACCAGATTGCCAAAAGAAGAACAAGAGCCCCACCAGGTGAAAGACAAAGAGGATATGGTCACTCAGGGAACACTGAGAGGAAAGATGAAGGCGAGGAGGAGGAGGAGGTCAATGAGCAAGATGTGGAAGAAGAGCCCTCATCATCTGATGGCAATGAAACCATGCTATGTTCCATGAAGAGGAAGAGGGGCATCAGGACAACTAAAGTGGCTCAGGTGAAGCCTGGAAAAACCTCTCCGAAGCCAGAGGCACTGCAGTGTGTGAGAGCGAGCAAGTTGAAAGGAAGGCAGTACAGAGAGAGGCGCTTCACATTTGTTCTGGCTGTGGTCATGGGGGCGTTTGTTCTCTGCTGGTTCCCATTTTTCTTCACATACACACTTATTGCTGTGTGTGACACCTGCTGTGTGCCAGAGACGCTGTTCAAAATGTTTTTCTGGTTCGGTTACTGCAATAGCTCCCTGAATCCTGTTATTTATACTATATTCAATAATGACTTCAGGAGGTCTTTTAAAAAGATTCTTTGTAAAAGGGAAAGGAGAGTTTTATGATTAAATCTATGAGTGTGAATTTCATTAACAACATTTTTAGCCGTGTTGAGCAAGGCTGTCATCAGTAAATATAACATTGAGTAGATATTTAAATATCATTGAATATTTGAAAAATGTGACCAGTACTATACCCGACACCTGTGTTTAAATATTTGATGTACTTCTACGTCAGTTTATGTTTTGTAATATTAAATCTTTAAGAAAAAAGAACATATTGTTCAGTTTGTTTCACCAGTTTGACTTCAAATGTTTTCACTGTATAGTTGTGACAACATGGCTGATACATTTTCTACATTCATTTGTTTTGACTTGTAATCAATTTTCAAATGTATCGGTCAATTATCTGAAATCGTCCCTTACTGCTCGGGTGCTCTGTAAGCTTCTCAAATCAGAGCCTGATTGTCATCAAAGAACATTTTTATTTGTGAATTTTTGTACAACAAAAAGCTTGATCAAAAAAAATGTGGACATGGCCAATAATTTAATTGTGACTGAACAGAGTAATGTTCTGATTCAACCCATGATTAAACAGAGGGAATTGAGCTAACATGATGCACATTATGTGAAAACAAAGCCTGTCCCTGTAGTCACCGACAGACAAAGATAAAAGCATACATTTGCACACAAAAACAACAGCAAGACCACATGAAGGCAAATAGTACCCAAACTATGTTGTCCAAGTACCAAAACCATCTGCTTCCCTAATAACAAACATGTGAACAAGACAATTATATGGGAAGAAAATTACGCCTGGGAGGTGCGGCTGGCACGACAATTTATCATGAATTATAGCCCTTCATATCAGGATATCATTAAATCATCCCCTGGAGTCCAGCAGAAATCATGCAGCGATAGGAATATGAGTAGCTTCTGCAAATGATACTGGGAGCTTAATATCCACACAAGCTTCTCTGAGTGTTTTGCTTTTGCTAAACCGGATCCGATATCTCCATCCTCTGTCTCTTAACACCTTTCTTTACAACAGCTGCTTCTTAACAATAACTCCTTAAGCACTCTGTGAACCTGAAATACATCAAATGCATCATCCATAACTGCTTTAACACAACAAACATTTCCACAGACCACTGCTCATGTGTACAGTAACTAGCAGAGTGTTTCCCATGACTCATGCTCTCTGGGACTCTCATGTTTTGAGATTCCTGTGGTACACATGTTTGGGTTCAAACCATGGCTCTAAGTCTTAAAATACAACATCCATTTCTTACCGCAAATGGTAAACTACAGCGCTACTGTATAGCTGAATAAGTTCCCACAGACATACTGACACTGAAAAACTGGTATTTAAGCATCAAAAAGAATATAAGTAAGATGGAGTGTCAGTGTGAATGTGTTGTAACTGCACAGTGGCATAACACATCTATTCACATTAATCCAGGGATACTAGACAGTCCTAAACATATTTCCTCTTTTCTCAGATCCATGGAACGTCAATCTGAAGTTTAAAACATTAAAGTGCATTAACTGGAATCTGAATGCTTCTCTTAATTACAGTGACAACTGTAATGTAGTTTGGTGCTATGCTTGAGCAGCAGGATGCAAACAGTACATTTGTAAAGCATGTTTTCACCAAGCAGTCAATGAATGAAATGCTAAAATAACTGATGCCCATAAAGAATAACACAAATATTGGTGACATACCTAATTAATCATGTGATACTGAATGTTTCTAAACATGTAATATGTTTTAGTAAAATTGAGTTTTCTCTGAAGCCTCTTTTCATCATGTCACTGTAAATCATGGTTGGTTATAAATTATACAACAGTTGGTTGCCGTTTCTATTTTCAATTTGTACACACACACACACACACACACACACACACACACACACACACACAGGTCCGCGTTTGCTCTCTGCCGAGACAATGATTTATTCCCCCCCTCTAAATGCCACTTCAGACAGTCACGATTTATGCTTGTGACACCACGGCTGATAAAACTATGTTTTATAAACTGCTCTTGGCAGTAGTTCCCACAACTTTCACACAGATCCCCAGTCAATCCTCTCCATTTCCTTCAAAGCTCTACTGACTATAGCTCAATGAGTGCTTTTTAAAGCTGCTAGTCATGTATCACAAAGAAGCTTGAGAACTTAAGAGGCAATGAAAGACCACAGAGAACACACACACACACACACGCGCGCACACACACACACACACACACACTGTAGTCAGGATCGTCAGACAGAGACACTGAGCCCATACTTACCAACTTAAATAAAAGCTTGTGACGAATACTGTAGAGTGTTTTTAATTGAATGTTAGGTCATTCATTATGAATAGAGTACACTACCTCACACACACTGGGGCATATAATACTTTCTCCCTTCTGAATTGATAAGGCTGCAAGATAATAAAATTACATTCTGAAGGATGGTAACAGCAGACAGATCCAGTTTAATTTTGCCTCATGCAGACTTCTTCCACTATACTTCTCACCAATGTCTCTCAAATTAAAGTTTTAATCTTCTTCTTCTTCTTTCATTTTTAGCTGAACTAATTTTAAACCTTGTTTTTTGGGGGGAGTTTAATACATTAACATAATGCAGGCAAGTATGTAAGAGATAAGTTAATTTTTCCAACAGATACACATGTTGACCAACCATGAAAGTGGGAAAATGGAATATGTGTATGAGATTTTTTTTCCGGAAATACTTGCAAAGCCACATTTTCCAGGCTGCATCGAGTGCCCATTTGTGATCGTCAGTGCTTGAGAAAGTGATTATTGTGATCAGGTTTTTTTTTCTCAGCTCAACAAAAAAGGCAGAACATGCTGGAAAGAAAGAGGCTCAAGAAAACCCCGAGGAGGGAGGACCGCACTGGGAATTAAGAAAAAGCAAAACACACTGAGGATGTGGGATTGACTAAATATGAGAACTGTACCAACAAATAGTAGTTCATTTTTTAGGAAAGCCACTACTTAACTTAACCAAATGTTACAGTAAAAGGACAAGAGTGTATTTGTATTTTCAAGGCTGTTTACATGATAAGTATATAAAGCATATCTTTTATCTGTCTAAATAATAAAAGGAAAAAAAACAATGCATCAAACGGAGCAAAACATGCGTGGGTAACAGACTTGCATTTAAATTGCAATATTTATCACATTTTGCATAAAAGGTTTAAAATCTTTTGCATCTTTTGCATTTAAAATCTTTGGTTCCATCCAATGTCCGTGTGGCTTTTTCTTCACATGTCACTAAGTCATTCCACTCAAAACAAAATAACGATTTAATTATTTTCTTTGGCCAGACTATCTCACTGTTTTGTCCTTAAATATGACTATATTAAAAATAAACACAATGTTTTATATGAAACCCTGATCTTCTCGGCTCTGTTTAACAACCAGGGCATGTTGGTGGGTTTTTTTCCGTTAATTCTGAAGGAAATGGGGTTAAAGGTTTAAGGCTCCACTGTAATGAAAACTCCAAAAATACGACTATGACTCTTTGCCTTCGTGACCTTATAGAAATATGTCACAATAAGTTCAAAATGAAAGAAAGCCTATCTAAGAATGTCGATTCTTTACGCTTATCAACATCAAAAGTAGCGATAATGTGTCCTCTTCTAAACTCCAAACAACATCTTCAGCGGTGCTTTCTTGGCTCTACTTTGAATCCATAATGCTCAAGCAAATCTACCGCTCCTGGCACTACAATTCTGACATAGCCATATTGTCCTATGCTCTTGATCGTACATAATTTCAGTCTGGCCAGGTCCAATCTTTATGCACAAGCTCTTGCACAGACACTCCCACGTCCCACCCCACACATATGCTCCTGAATGATATCAGATAGCAGAAATAATAATAATAATAATAACAATAATAAATGGGGCAAAAACACAATTCCTGATAAAGGTGACCATAATCACACTTTATCTGTCCTCACCAGCAAAATGCCACAGTGTTCCCCTAGGTTTACAGCTTTTTTTTTTTTGGGGGGGGGGCACACACACACACACACACGCCGACACAAACACTTTAAGGAATCTTGGTGTTCATGTGTTAATTTTAATGACAGATGTCCTTTTCTATCGGAAAGGTATCCTAAATGACTTCTTTCCCTGATTTCCAACTCTATCCACTATCCTATCTCTCCAATAAAGGCACAAAAAGCCCCAAAATTGTATACTGTTGTATAATAATATAATGGTAGGGGAAACACTGTGCTATGAATAAAAATCTTCCCTCCTCATGATGTAAGCTACCACACAAAACAAAATGTCATTCATGAACCCATTTACACCACTGACGTCTTCACAGACTCTCCCTTGTTACTCTTGTCATCTACTACTACAAGAGTGTGACATTTATTTTCCACTGTTTTAGGAAAGAATCTCAGAAAAAATGGAAAAACCAAAGACTACTTACAGGGACACAGGAATTATAAGTCACAATTGATCATAATGTGAGCTAACATCATTAAACCAGGCAGATAGAGGGTCAAGCTATGGTTTGACCTATTTGTTGATGAAATCCAATGTTAATGAAAAAGAGGTACGTTGTATTTTAAGTGTATTATAAGTAAAAGAAAGAAGCTACAATTACCACATTTGGTATTTCTAGATATAACAATTATAATAGTTTGACTATGAGTGATTATTTTTTACATAATACAGTTTTAATGGGTATTAAATACATAACATAAAAGATGAAGGTGGAGAAGTCTTGATCAGGCACACTTGACTACAACCATATTCCAATTATGAATTATAGTTGTTAAAGTATGTCTAGAAAGACAAATATGTGGGGGGTTTTGTTACACGTAAATGATAACAAATACATTGCCATAGCAAAAGCAAAAGTCCACATGACTTGTGAATTCAGAGAAGAGAGTTCGACCATTTACCACCACTAGTCAGCAGACGGCGTTTCCTGTTGCTTTTTTGGGGTTTTTTAAGATAAAAGGTGATGATTTTCGATCTGAAATATAAAAGTACACCGAGTATATCTCCACTCCAGAAAGGTAAATGCTTATTTTTTAAGTCATTCGCATTTTTGATTACTATTCACCGAGGACAACCCGTTTTAAACATCAATGACAATATTGTTTCAAAGGAAGCTCTGTAAGGATATATGGGCTAAATAATAATAATGAATATCATTTAAATGAATATTATTTATATTGTTATTTATTTGCATCATCTGTTTA